AGGAGGCAAGCCCTGTGGGTGGGTGGCCGCCCTGGCCATCCGCAGTGCCTGGCCAGGGTGACCTCTTCCCAGCTTCTGAATTCCAGATTGTATTCCCACTCAGAGGCCTGATGGAGTGACCAATTGGCCCCGTTTGCCAGGGACTGAGTTTTCCCAGGACATGGGGTCTTTAGTGCTAACTCTTTGGAGGTTTGATCCCCGAATGCCGGCATATCAGGGCATAGGCAGCGTGTGAACATTCAGCATCCCCTGAGTGAGCCAGTTGAGGTATGGAACAGAGAACTGGCTAGAGTTTCAGTCTCATTTTTCTGTCAGGCCTAAGACTGAGGATGTATCTCTTCACTGCTCTGCACTTCATTTTGCTTTAAATCTCTTGCTAATCCGATAGCATGAAGCATTACTTCCAACAATGGGTAAGTGAAGGTCTGTAGACACGTTCTGAGATGAGGAAGGCACCAAAGAATGAACACCTCATGTTTAATCCCTGTCAATGGCGGTGGGTCACCCACAAAGTACTCTTCTCAATTCAAAAATACAGTTAGCATTTATTATGTGCCAGGCAACATAGGCAATGCAAGCTATGTCACATACACTGCCATCCCTTCAAGAGGGAGAACCGATACAATGAACTATTTCAGCTACCAGGCTACCAGGTAGGTCACTGAGATGGCAAAGACCATGGGATCTGGAGAAGAGAGAATTATTAATAACCTCTGCTTATTACAGGCCAGATACGCTACATTCATTATCTCGCTTCACAGCTAACACTTCTTAAGCACCGACCACGAGATTAACCCATTTAATTTTTGTAACAATTCTATTACTCTACTCATTCTTTGAATGAGGAAAATGAGGCTTTGAAAGTCAACTATCTTGCTCAAGATTGCAAGTTAGTAAAGGAAGTCTCTAGGGTCTGAACGTAGAGAGTTAGGCTCTGTCCCTGGCACTGTATGAGACTGAATCTCTACCCTTGCAGGGGGGCTGGAGCCTCAAAACAACCAGTGAGTTGGACACACAACCAGGCGAGTCTTGGAGCAGACAAGTGAGGATGCAAATGGAGGGAGAAACAGGAGGTGGGGGTCTCTGGTTCCAAACTGAAGGATTCCAAGACATGACAGTGGGGGCCTTGGGAACGCTGATGCTCTAAGGGAAACCGGCAGGACAAATGGTGTCCTCTGGCCCCTGGCTGCATTCGAGTCTAAAGAATGTCTGACTAGAATGTGAAGCCAAATGCCTGACTCTTTGGTCATCCTTCAAGGGCTGAAGATGAGTAGCAGTCACTATTTTACCTTTTTAAAGAGTGCATTTGTCAGTCCTCAAAAGTTTATCTTTCTTATGGACTTAGAACATCTGAGCAACTTACGTGGCACATATTGCAAACCAAATAAAAATAAAAATGTGTTGATTTGATATGCTGTGACTGCCTCTAATATGTGCATTGCAACAGTAGAGTTAGAAGATAGGAATTCTAGCACTGTCAGCTATTGAAAGCACTCATTTCAGCAATACCAATCCACAAGTACAGTATTCCTAGGGACACTGGGCTATGCTAAGTATCCAGAGTCTGACATTGCATAGTTATTGTTTGCAAAATAGTCTCAATATCTTTTTCTTTTCTTTTATAGGTTCATGTTTGTGTAAAATAAATATATAATTTCAGATAATTAAGTATTCAAAACACTTGCTGTTAATTTGCAAAAGCATTAAAATTACTCTCCCTCTAATAATAATCAACAAAGCATAAAGGTAGGAAGAATACTATCTGAAGCAAGATTTAAAGAAATGTAAGTTTCTGGGGTTGGGGGACAACAACTGATACCCTTCTTGCTCACTTCCACTGTTAACAATTCCTGATTATTATCATAGTTTAATAATAATAGTGATTGTTTTCCCCCAAAGAGGCTCTTACCTAGAATGCAGGGTTTTGGGGGGCCTCTCTGTGGCTCTGAGACTTCACTCAGCCCCTGGCACGGCCAGGTATGAGAACCCCAGTGGCTCTCTCTTTAGAAAATGACCAAGTTGTCTGGTGGCAAAGAAAAGGCCTTTCTGTACTTTCTGACTTCCACTCAGCTACGTCCTACAATGGCCTTTCTGTTTCTGTAGAAGCAGAAACAGACGCTCACATCTGTCCATCGATGCTCCTGCTCCCTTAGCTCAGTGCCGTGGTCGGTGGGTCGGCAAACTGCGGCTCTCGAGCCACATGCGGCTCTTTGGCCCTGTGAGTGTGGCTCTTGCACAAAATGCCAGGGCCTGGGCGAGTCTATGTTGAAGAAGTGGCGTTAGAAGAAGCTTAAGTTTAAAAAATTTGGCTCTCCAAAGAAATTTCAATCGTTGTACTGTTGCTATATATTTGGCTCTGTTGACTAACGAGTTTGCCGACCACTGGCTCAGGGAAACCAGCACTGTGCATGCTTAGGAGCGCTCTTCCTCCTGGGGGACCTGCGGGCCAGAGGAAGGCATTTCGCTCCACCTGAGCGTGTCAGTTCTACACTCGGCGGAAGCAGAAGCACGTTCTCTTCTCCTCACGTGAGGTCAGAGTGTTTCCTTGCTCTCTTCCTTTCACGGCTTCATCCACTCTTGCCTTTGTCCTTGACATTTTCTAAAATTAGCTTTATCACTCCTCCCAGCATTTGAACCCGCTTGAGTTGTTTGCACAACCTTTTCTACTTGAAGTGGCTGTTGACTCACGGCAGCCTTTACACAGCCCAGACGAGCCCCCTCACTCATGAGGTACTTCAGCTTCTTCCCACACCAGTTGCCCAACCAAATTCAGGACAACGTACTTCCTGTCCTCAAGAGCTTTCTAGAAAGCTGTTGTAATAAATAGGAAGAAAATTAGCTCTTCTTTAGCCAATGATATACCTCAATTATACCCAGGAAGTCTTGCCCTCTTCCAGAATTCTTGAGTGATGTAAAAATAATAATAATAATAATAATAATAATAATAATAATAAATATAATAAATAAAATAAAATTTAAAAATCGACCATGCATTCTCATATATTATAACAGATTTCAAGTTCAGAAACTCTAAAGGTCATACATGACATTCACGAACACCTCCTTTGCCAGATACAGGTACTGTACTGTATTAAACGTGTCTTTTATTTTTTGCACTTGGGTTCTTTAACATCTAGGGTCTTACAGATCACAAAGGCCGCAGGATTAGCCAATCCTAGGGATAGCAAATAACTTAGCCTCAAGCTATTTGCTCACTCATCAATCCCTACCAACAGAACCCACACCCCAACCTCCTCCTCTCTCTCCTCTTACACTCAGGTTCCTACTCCCCTGACCTCATCCCCCCCAAGGCCCACTCCCAGACAGCCAGGATAACCCCTCGGTCCAGAGCCCACTGAAATGATTCACACTGGTTCATCTTACACTTGCTTACCTGCCTTGCCCATTCCTTCCCAGGGAAACCACAGCACAGGCTGATGCCCACCTTCTCCCTGCTCCCCCGGCCTCCACCAACCCGGCTGCTTCCCTATGTAGCCCCCATGACACAAGGTGCGCAGTCTCTTGGGATCTGTGAGCATAACAAACTATCTTCGAAGAGTTTCACCTGCTGGCCTCATTATACAGAAATCATAATAAAACCTTTGTTTTAGAAACATTTACACAAAGAGAAAGGAAGACAGGGCAGCACAAGATGACAGCCTGCCCTACGATTCTGGCCATTATCCGGATGCACATGGATGAAGCATATCAGTTACATTTCACAAAGCTGCCACTTACTGTTCCAGGAAGAAAGCATGGTTGTTCCATAAAGCAGTGCATTATTCTGGCTAAAAAAGCCCTTTGCAGAGCTGACTAGAAATATCCATGATGAGCATCACATTAAGATACCACATGCCACGAGCCGAAACCGGTTTGGCTCAATGGATAGAGCGTGGGCTTGGGACTGAAGGGTCCCAGGTTTGATTCCGGTCAAGGGCATGTACCTTCGTTGCGGGCATATCCCCAGTAGAGGGTGTGCAAGAGGCAGCTGATCAATGACTCTCTCTCATCGATGTTTCTAACTCTCTATTTCTCTCCCTTCCTCTCTGTACAAAATCAATAAAATATATATTAAAAGAAAAAAAAGATACCACATGCCACGAAAGATGGTGCGTTGCCCAAGGGAACTGGGTCTAACGGTAACAGTAACTTGTGAAGAAATTGAACATTGGCCCCTAAATGATAGCAGTAAAGTTTTGTGTCAAATGTTCTGGGTTCTAATCTGTTCTATTAAAACTTGTGTCCCAGCCCTAGCTGTTTTGGCTCAGTGGATAGAGCGTTGACCTGCAGACTGAAGGGTCCTGGGTTCGATTCCGGTCAAGGTCACATGCCCGGGTTATGGGCTGGATCCCCAATAGGGGACGTGCAGGAGGCAGCCAATCAATGATTCTTTCTCATCATTGATGTTTCTATCTCTGTCTCCCTCTCCCTTCCTCTCTGAAATCAATTAAAAAACACACACAAAAAATTGTGTCCCAGAGGATCTGTATGAAAAGCAAGGATCCTGTGATGCTGTGCTCTGATCTGGCTTGCTTCTATCCACCCCAGAGCAAAGGCTACTCAAGGCATTGACCTGACTTTGTCTGCCTCGCAGAGGCCACACAGCAGGTGCTCAGTATTTATTTACCGCCCGAAGAAATGCTTCTGATCATCTTTCGATAACAGTTAAGAAATGACATGAGAGAGCAAAGGTGTCCACTTAGGGGATTAAGTCATTCGGTGACAAGTGTTGGAGCTGAGGACGAAAGCTACTCCCTTTGGCCCAACCATTACTATCCCATTATATCCTGCCACCTCTCGGAGAGGAATTTAAGGCCCTTATTTGGTAGCCATGGACATTTGGCGTCTTCTGACCTTCAACTGACCTTGAATGTCTATCACATTCTGCAATGCTTCCTCTAACAACGACCCGTTAGTGAGCAGTTCGCCTGGGTCCATAAGTCACCTACACCAACGGCTGAGCTCCCGGGCGTGACTGGGTCACTGCGGGGGACACTCACCAGGGGCTCCAGCTCCTTGCGGTCGATGAGGTTCATCTCCGTGACGAAGTAGTAGAAGTGCTTGTAGCAGGTGTTGACGTGGGCCTCCGCACCCATCACAATGACCCGGTCGAAGTGGTGGATGTAGACGTGCACGAAGACCCGGAAGAGGCGGCACAGGATCTTCTTGCAGATCTGCAGGAAGTTCTTTGGGAAGGGGACACCTGGAGGAGGCATAAGAGAGAACAAAACCATGACGGGAAAGCTCCGGCAGCCCTGGGACCAGGCGGAGGCCGAGGGCACCCTGGGCCAGGGCGGTCTAACACTGCCCGAGACAAGGGTCAACATCAAATGCTAACAACAGGAAGAGACCCCCCAGGAGGAGAGAATGGGCCTGGTGTGTCTCTTTGGGTTCATCTTATTTCGGTGCCAATAAGTGGGCAGAAATACTTACTTTTACATAGAAAGGTGCACTCTCTAGTATTGCCTTTTCATTTTTTCCCATTTTTATAGAGCACAAGGAAGTTCATTTCCCAGCTCTACTGTAAGCAAACTGGTAGGAGGAGGGTGAGCTTCAAGGAGATTGGCACACCCTGACATGGGGTGCTAGGGAGTGGTGGAGACAGTGGTGGCCAGCTTGGGATTTTCCCAGATAATTCAATAATCTTGAGCTCTATGTGGTTTGCTGCATTAAAAAAAAAAAAGACACATTAGCCCTAACTGGTTTGGCTCAGTGGATAGAGCATCGGCCTGCGGACTAAAAGGTCTGGGTTTGATTCCGGTCAGGGGCATATACCTTGAATGTGGGCACATCCCAAGTGGGGTGTGTGCAAGAGGCAACTGGTTGTTGTTTCTCTTCCATCAATGTTTTTAACTCTCTATCCCTCTCCCTTCCTTTATGTAAAAACAAAACAAAACAAAACAAAACAAAAAAACCAGTAAAATATATTTTTTTAAAAAAAGACACATTAGCAATTAATCTAAAAGTTTAAAGAAAATCACAGCTCAAAATAAGACATTTTTCTAAGACAAATGTGCCTGCAGGTTACCAGCACACCAATTCCGATGGGAACTTTTCCTGAGATATACTGCTTCTGGGCAGGGAAAGGCAGCAAACTCCAGCAATACCTCGCATTACGTTCATTACCACCCCATCGCCTTGAGGAGGGTGAGAGAGGAGGGCTATGCTTTTCATAACACAGACAGGGTGCGTGGTCAGACGAGGCACCCACAATCCCCTTCTGACGACAGCTACTCCCAGGTGGTCAGGCAGCAAATGGCAGATCCATAAGCCCATTCCTCTCTTGCTCTCCCACAATGCTTAAGCGCCTGTCAGTCACACTGTCCTCAGTGATGACATGTTTCGGATTGCCGAGTGAAACAGACTGTGAATTCCCACTCTGCTCCTTTCCCTGACACTCAGCTTTTCTGGATGTAGAACGCAGATGAATATTCTGATGGTTGGGAGGGTTAGAAGTGGTACTGGTGTGACTTTGGCTACCCGCCTGTCACAAGGGGCCATGAGGAGGCCTTCCTTGCGTGGCTAGGAGGGTGTCAACCCGAGGGAAACCCTCCTCAGTGTCTAGAGCAGAGGGGGAGCTCACTAAGTAGGAAAGACCCTTCTCTGTGCGAAGCCAGGTCTGCAGCATGCGGCTGCTGTTCTGAGGGAAGAGTCAGCTTATTGAGAAAGGTGGGCATGATGTCATGGCCGCCTGGCCACAGAATGGCAGAGCTGAGCCCAGGGCCTGCCCCTGGCCCCACCGAGCCTCAGGTCTGCTGTCTGTGCCTCCACAGGGTCCCCGTGGCAGCTACCGGGTAAGTGAATACTCTGTCACTGAGACGGGATCACCTGGGACTCCCAGGGCAAGAGGAGAGAGATGGCACGCGGCTGGCAGTTGGCAGAGGCGGGACCTGCCTCCCCGGGGCCCAGCACTGATAGTGGCTTTTCTTCAAAAACAAAGTGGCACCATATCAAATGGACCCGGAAGAGACCTGGGCACAGCTTGGCAGCTGACTGTCTGGGCAACAGATGCTGGCATTGAGGGGGATTGGGGAGGAGGTAAAGCTGGGGAGAAGGTGGCAGGCAGCCTCTCAAAGAGTTCATGGGCTGTTTCCCATCTGCTGGCGATGGGGGGAGGAGGCAGGAGACCCTCTGCTGCAGGCTGGAAGGGGTCTGGAGCCTTTTAAGAAGCTCGAGTCCCAAAGGGGATAGGTCCCCTCGAAGACAAGCTTGTTCCTGTCAGAAGAGGCTCCTGTAGCCACACAGCGCCAGTGCCAGGGGTTGGCATCTGTGACCGGCGCAGCCTGCCTGTGACACTGGCTTTACTCCTCCTGTGCCACAGACGAAGGGCACGGAGGCTCTGGGCACTGGTGCCCTCATTCCGGCAGTCTAGCTGGTGGTGAGGCTGGGATGAGGACCAAGTCAGCTTGCCTCAAAAACCCCAAAGGTCTGGTTACGTTTGGAGTGGGACTCGCTCTCTCTGTCAAGGATAGAGGCATCGTCCCATGACTAAGCACAACGGGGCATCTGCAGGTTACTCTTTGGTGACACAAAAATATTTTTTTAAAAAGAAAGGGGAGAAAAGGTCCACCCCTGGGGAGCCACAGAACCGAGTGGTGAAGGCCAGCTGACACATTCCGAAGTCCCTGAGGAGGAATGTGATTTCTCATCCATGCCTTAAGACCACGGATCTGAGACGAAGAGTAAAAGCCAATATTTACTGAGCACTTATCATGTTCTAGGAACTGTACCGAGGGCTTTACCTGGATTACCTGACTGAATCCTTGAACAGCCCTTAAGGATAGATACTATTATGTTCCCATCTCACAGGTGAGGAAACATTCCTCTGACAAGCTCTGAGCTCTTGGCTCTGCCCTCCACTCCACACCTGGTCTCTGGCCTACCCTTTGGCCTTGACCTTGGTTTGCTCTTCCTTTAGGCTATGGCAGGGAATTTTCTTTTTTTAAATACTTTAAAAAAATGTTTTTATTGATTTTTTTTTTTTTTTAGAAAGGAAGGGAGAGGGATAGATAGAAACATCAATGAGAGAGAAACATCATTCATCAGCTGCCTCTTCCATGTCTCCCATTAAGGATCAAGCCTGCAACCAGGGTATGTGCCCTGATGAAGAATTGAACCAGTGACCTCTTGGTTCATGGGTTGACGCTCAACCACTGAGCCACACAAGCTGGGCTGGGAATTATCTTAAAGTAGTTGAGAGGAGTTGGTTTTGAAGTTTGAAGACTTTAGCTTAAAATCCTAGCTCTACAACTTACTAGTTGTCTAGGCAAATTACTCCATCACTCTCCTTCATCATGAAGAAAAACATCTCCTCTGCAGTGTTCTTACAATAGGAGGTGTACGATGCCTGGCACTGAAGAGGGAACCTTGGGATTATGTCCTACTTCTGTTACTTCCCACCTGACCTCAGGCAGGTGGGACATCAGGCCCTGAACCTCTTTGCTCGGGCTGCTAAATTGGGCCTGACTCTTTCACCCTAGTCTCCCTTACCGGTCATGAACTCTTCAAAAGTGAATGTTGCAAATGGCTCAAGTCAGGACACGCTCAGCATACACCAGAGCCACCCAGGGCCAGCTCTGGAAGCTGAGAAGTCCCAGGCTGGGAGTCTCAGGGGCACTAGGTTTCACTGGGAGCCAGAGACAAAATCCCAGCTTACAGAGCATGAGGTTGAGAACAAGAAAGTTACGGGGCATTTGGGAAATTCACTCAATATTATTGATGGTTCAGGAAACAATTATATAGTTGTTTAAAGGCTTATATGCATCCAAATTAAAGGCTTATATGCATCCAAAATCTTTTCTTCCTGCCAAAACCGGTTTGGCTCAGCGGTAGAGCGTCGGTCTGCGGACTGAAAGGTCCCAGGTTCGATTCCGGTCAGGGGCATGTACGTTGGTTGCGGGCACATCCTCGGTAGGGGGAGTGCAAGAGGCAGCTGGTCGATGTTTCTCTCTCATCGATGTTTCTAGCTCTCTATCTCTCTCCTTTCCTCTCTGTAAAAAATCAATAAAATATATATATTTAAAAAAAAAAAATCTTTTCTTCCTTTCTCCTCTGCCTTGTATTCAGGCATACATGTATGTGCATGTTTGTATGTATGTGTGTGCTTTTCAATAAACCTTCCTCAAAAGGTGGAAGACATCGCCCCTCGGGATGCAGAGAACTGGATGGCTGCCCTTTGGTGGACCCTTTGTCAGTGGCCTCATGGTAGCAAGACAGGGAAGGCCTCAGCCCTGCGGGTCCACTCCTTTCCCCAACAGCTCCAGAAGGACCAGGTCACAAAGAATGGATTGACATGAGATGTTTTGTTTTTAAGATGCCAATAAGGAGTCTCCATAGCCACAGACAAGCAAACCCTGAGTGAGGCCTGGGATAAGCAGATCATTTAGTCCCAGTGACACCTGAGCATGGGCATATTATTATTGTTGTTGTTATTATCATGTAATGGAGTCTTAGCTCAGTTACTGTTGGCCCTGGCCCCACAGGAAAAAGAGGAGAAGCAGGCATTTGGCCCTAAAACTCGGGTTCTTCCTTCCACATCTGTTCCTGCAGGCTCCATGGTGGCAAGGATCCCACTGCTGAGATGGCTGCTTTTCGACCTGCACTTTGTCCATTTGTTTGCTTTTTTAAACTTATTCTATTGATTTCAGAGAGGAAGGGAGAAGGAGAGAGAGATAGAAACATCAGCAATGAGAGAGAATTACTGATCTTTCTGCATGCTCTACACTGGGGATCAAGCCTGCAACACAGGAATGTACCCTGACCAGGAATCAAACTGTGACTTCCTGGTTTATAGGACAACACTCAACCACTGAGCCAGTAGGCTGTTTGTTTGCTTTAAATGAAAATAGTCTAGCACAGTGGTTGCCAACCTTTAGGACCTCATGGATCACCAGTGGTCCTTGGACCATTGGTTGGCGACCGCTGGTTTGCAGGAGGAAGAATAAAAGGTTAGGGAATCGTTTCAAGTGGACACTGGCTGGTTACAAATGGCAGCCTGAACCTGAGGGCTGTGCAATGTCTGGGTCTGGGCCAAGGGCAGTCTATGTGGTCTACAGGACAGCCCTGACTTAGCCCCGGACCATAGCCCACCCCCTCCTCCTGTCAAGTACATAGATTCTTTCCTAGAGTGGACACTACACTCTTGGTATGCTTTAAAAATCACTCATCCTGAGAGATCTTTGGCTAAAAAATAGGATCCTGAGG